AGACAAAATAGAGAATATGAGAGGAGGGGATGGAAGGGGATGGACCCTACTAGGGGTGGTTGGGGTTGTCCCAATCCTTATAGGAATCAATTGGTTGATGGGCCTCTATCGATTGTGAATCTGTTCTTGTGTTTCTTTATGTATTGGCAATTATGATATAGTTTTACGGAGGCATTGACAGTTATTACAGTTGTGGCGATTTGGCCAGAACAGTCACTCTCTCATCATTATCCGTTAACTGTCTATACGGCATTGCATTTATGGTGCCCCAAGTTTGAAGTTAGGCGCATGAATCTTATGGGTGTTTCATCGTTGCAGAATCTTTTCACTGACGATAAGGGCGTGGCTACCTTCAAGGGTATCCCGTTTATGACCTCGGCCGGGCCTTGTACATCATCCATCCCCAAGGGAACTATCAAATGATCGTATATTGCCCTTACAACCAATGTAACTCTCACTTTTCAAGGAAGATCTCGCTCACCATGTAGTTCAACTTATTTGATGTGAAGATATATTATGGAATTACAGTTTCATATTTCGTTTTTGGTAAAGAAAATTGTTTAGTGTCCCTTTGGAGATGGAGGCAAATATAATCCTGCACTGTTCATTAAAATATTAATATCTTATAGGGCCAGAGAGTTAAAACGAGTCATCTGGCTAGCCCTCGGTTGGAGATGGCCTAAGGATCCTCACATTCTAGCTGGTCATTGTATATTGTGCATCCAATTTTTGTTAGTTATTATTTATGTTTAATTTTAAATAATAAAATTTAAATGATTTCTAATCGTACGATGTACGATGAATAGTTAAAATATGAGGATTCTTAGGATTCTCACAATTTGGATCCGGATGGGATCCAAATCTTGAAGATTAACTGCTAATGTGCCATTTTAAAATTAGTTAGAGACATAACGAGATAAACTTAAATGCACTTGTTTTCAGTTTGCAAGCACATAAGCATATGTGTAAAGGACCGTTTTATGAAACTGAAGTAGAAAATAGTGTAGGCAAGTGTTACCCTTATTAGGATAAGAGGAATGAGATTATCTCTGGATCTCGGAGTTTAGAGTTAATGGACTGAGTAATTTGGACTGCTCATTTCAAATTTTACAATTCTCATTAGTCTATTATACCAACTTACCTAATGAAAATTAAGGATGGGGATCTCTCTCCCTCTTCCCTCTTTGATCGGTCTGCAGTACATGAGCTTAGGACCACAATATGCGGAGAGGATTTGAATTAAGATACGAGGGTGCTAATGACGCTGAGGTAGTTATTAGTCACGCTTTTCCATAAAGCCAGCCAGCATAACAAAGTTGACCGAACAGTAAAGGATAAGTCAACCTCAATACCCCAGCAAGTTGTCCGAGAAAGATACAGAAATACCAGACTTGTCTGTAATCTAACCTTGAAATTGAACTGTATGCTTTCTTCACCAAGAAAAAAATGGTCCTGTATGCTTTGTAAATAGTAATTTTCAGGTTCAAACTCTTTATCCTCGTCCACCAACTAATAATTTTGAAAACAAGTTTACGTTGATGGTTAAAAAAGCAACGATGAATTCATTTTACGTAATATTTACGTTGTTCATTGATCTTACAGTTCAAACAAGAACACTTAACTAACGATTCGGATAATAGTTATTTGAGTTGGAAATGAGCAAAACATGATCGTAACATACTGAAGTCTCACTATTTGGTCCGTGCAAATTATCTGTTGTTGTTCGAGTATTTAGTAGAAAAAACAAAGAAAGTGACTCAGAGAAGAAGACATGACAAAGATTCTGTGGATTTATGTTTGTTCTTTGTATTGTTTAGCATTACGTATGTACTATGTATGTATTGGATTTGGATGTATGGTTTCTGCGCCAAGGGATTCTAATTAGATCTTTTCCCACTGTCAGAAAACAGATGGGATTCGGATCTTTTAGACGTATGGAGATGGTGTTGTGGTAACTCCACTCCTCCCCACTTTGACCATATTTTTTAAACCACCAGTGTCGGTGTGTTTCAATCCAATCCATGATATTCTAATTGTGAAAGTAGATTTAAATTTGGATGCAAAGACGGATGACGCCGGATTATATTGACTTACGTTTGTTTAATTCTTTTTTAGCATAGTTAATAACTTAACATTAACACATATTTGATCGAACAATCTTCTATCACTAATTCAAGCTATTGAACTCTTTTTAAAGCCACATGAAAACCACTAATCGAAGTTTTCATAGAGCACTGGTTGATGTTTTTTCCTAAATAAAATTTAGTGTTTAAAATAGATAACATGAAAATTATCCTAAAAAATGAAAATCACGATTTAGAAATACAAAAGATGGAACTCACTTTTTATAAATATATAGTTGAGTACTATAGAAAATGAGTGGATGACACATAAGATGAGTGGATGATACATAAAATGAGTAGATAACATTGAAAATAAAAGATATACTAATTATAAAACATAACGATTAGAATACTGAATATTACGTAATATTGAAATCATATCAGTAAATTCTTAATTTTAAAATTGTTGAAGGGAGGAGGTTGGGGTTTTGAATTTATGTCACAAGGTTGAAAAAAAAAGTAATAATGGGGTCATGGTTATTATTGTATCAGCAGCTGCTACAAAATGAATCAAATGACGTAATTCAGCAGCAGTATCCATGCAGATTTCTGAAACCTACAAATTTTCTCTGCACACGGAGAGAGAAGATAATAAATATCCCAAGTCACAGATATATCGTGATCTTCTTTGGGTTTCTACCCTTGATTCGATTCAGTTTTCTCTCTTGGATTTACTAGCAGCATATCTGCATATGCATTTACTTGGCAGCATATCTCTATTGTCTATATATAAATACAAAAATCCGGCCTTCCAGAATCCACATTACATGTTGTTCATACATTTCCCATGAGTTTGTTTTGTTTTATGTTTTACTGTATGAATTGAATCCCCATATGCTAAATTGTTACTGTCAGACTCAGACAAGTCGTTTCGCGTATGGTCTTGTGAAATTAAATCGTGTCTTTTACCGCAACTACGTTTATTACAAGTCTCTTTCTCTCTCTTTTTCTTTCTTTCTTTCTTTTTCTTTCTGCACTTGCGTCTTTGCTTTCATTTGGCTATTATTATTCGAAGTTGGTGGGTGAGAGAGGGAGAGGGTTATTATTTCTAGGGTTTTAAGAAATATGGAATCTTCTTCTTCCTCCTCAAAGGGTTTCATGGCAAATGTGGAGCAACCTCATGTTTTAGCCGTCGATGACAGTCTCGTCGACCGAAAACTGATTGAAAAGCTGCTCACAAATTTGTCTTGCAAAGGTAAGAATCTCTCTGCTCGAATCCTCCACAACCCTCTTCTTTTTTTCTTTTTCTTATTTTGTTCTATATTTTCATGCTAATTTACTTGAAAATAAATGGTAGGGATTTTTACACTCTCATTTTTGCTGAAACGCTATATTGTACTTTTTAATGGTTTAGTGCTTAATATAAAGATTAAGAAGACTTTATCATGGTGAATTAAATTAATAGAAATCTGTTTAATGGAAAACAGTCTATTTTTGCTTGGTAAAATAATACAGTAAAAAAATGATAATTATTACTCCTATTTGGTGCAGTGACAACTGCAGAAAATGGGGCAAGTGCATTGGAGTTTTTGGGCTTGGGAGATCAACACAATAGCTTGGAGAGTAATGTAAGTAACTAATTAGTAATTACCATTAATCCATCGTATTAATTCAACATTTAAGCTTTATACTGAGAAGGGAGAAGGGTCTTGTTCTTACTTGCAGGTCTCAAACTCAAAGGTAAATCTGGTAATAACTGACTATTGTATGCCAGGAATGACAGGCTATGAACTGCTCAAGAAAATCAAGGTTGTGCAGATTTTTTGATAATTTTTTTAGCATTTAATACGGTTAAATATATAATTATGCTTTTTAATTTTCTTACCCTTCTGCAAGCAGGAATCATCAATCATGAAGGAAGTTCCAGTGGTGATTATGTCATCTGAAAACGTACCGACTCGGATTAACAAGTAAATATGAAGTGATTATTATGTGTTATAATTTCCTTTGTATTTTTATTTTTTGTTTATGGTTTTAATTTCTGATTAAAAACAGGTGCTTGGAGGAAGGAGCTCAAATGTTCATGCTAAAGCCACTCAAACAGTCAGACATGAAGAAATTGAGATATCATTTGATGAACTGCAGCAGCTAGAAAAACAATTATCTTTTCCTTTTCTCTGAAGGAAATTGGAAATAGCCTAAGAACTAGTTTACTAAGTTTTTGTATGCAACGTAGCATGGTATGCACTGGAGATTTTGACTATTAGATTTGTTTTAGTTTTCCTCGTCATGACATAGGAATTTCCTTCAATGCTAATTTTTAATTTTTGGGTTTTGTTTTGCTCATAACTTCTTAGACTAAATTGTAGTAATGGTTCCTTAACTTTAACTCAATTAGAGTAATGATTTATGAACTAAAAATTCATTACCATTGATCTCTTAATTCATCAAAACGTGCAGTTATGATTTTTTTTGTCAACTATGTTAAGACTTCCATCAAAATGAATTACTTGTTATGCACATGAAGCTAAATCAATGGGTAAATATGAAAAATCAAATAATAAAAATTGTATTAATGGTCTTTCAACTTTAATTGAACTAGATAATTGGTTTCTCAATTTTAATTGAACTTGAGAATTGATTCCTCAACTTTAAGAAGGGATATTATTATTCTATTGCTTTTTCTTTGATGCTTTTCGTGTTGCTTTAACTTTAGAAAAGAATTTATGCACATTATATATCACTATCACACACCTCGTCTTCGTTTCAACCATTAATTTGAACCAATCAAAAGAAATTCAACGGTTAAAATTAAGACGAGTGTGCAGAAGTAGTAATCACTTGCCAAGTCATGCAAGTTCCTTTTTTATTTGATAGGAATGTCATGCAAGTTCCTAAAATGACTATATACACAAATTGTATATAATAATTAAAGGGAAAAGAAAAATGGACGGTTAGATTAATCTAAGTTCAATGAACTATATCATTCTTGGATAATTTGCTTCTTCAATTTGAAGAGAAAAAGCTAAAGAACCATTAGATGTACAATCAAAATCAATCATGTTCAAATCAAAACTCCTAACTGCAACAACATCTAAATTGATGGAATTTGGATTTTTGTATACTTTTGACATATGCTAAATCCCAAACTTTCTATATATCAAAATGCGTTCTTCTCCCCAAGGACCCCAACCCTTCATCTTCTGCAGGATAACAGGGAAAACATCGCGATTCACTTCCTCATCGGAGAAAGGGCCTCGAAAGTAAACCTCGGATACGCGCAATAACCCGTGTATGCTTTTGTCCAACCCTTGATCTTTTCCTTGACATGTATATTTATTTACACAAGGATCTGGGACGTACTAAATAAAAAAATATGCAGCAAAACCTCAAACATTTCCACCAGTCACACACAATTGAGGTCATGAAAACTCATGGAAATGTCTGTGGTGGTGATGGTGGTGGTGGCGGTGGCGGCACTCATCCAATCCAAAGCACTGCATGACAGGAAAACATGTCACGAACACGCATCTCCCTATCCCTCTAAATATCGAGGACACTGCAATACAACGGCACGTCCTCTTTGGATTTCGTGGGCTCTTCTTTCTTCCGTTGTTAGAGTGATCATGTCCATCACAACGAGCACCGCGACGTTGATGCTTTCCCATCACCAACTAGCAGTCACCTATAAAAAAAGATCCATAATTCATGCATATATATCCAAAAACTGACGACCCAATTGCTTAAAAACAGAAAACCAAATCAAAGTTCATAGCTTTTTTCAAATTTTGTTTTCGCATACCTTGAGAAACTCTTGGTGTCGGTGATGGGGAGCTTCAATTCTCTCTTGGTTTGACAAGAGAGGAGAGAGGGAGATAGAGAGAGAGAGAGGAAGATAGAGAGAGGAAAAAGATTTAATCACAACATGTTTAGCACTGCAATTAGATTTAGAAGGTCTTGAAATGGAAGCTGCTCAAAGTTAAAGGATGGATTTAATTAATTAATTAATATTTTTAATTATGGATGGATGTGATTAATTAGAAGCCAAAAGAATATGCTGTTTTGATATTTGTACAAGAAGGTGCCGACTTCTTCTTGCGCGTTGCATGCGTGGTTGGCATTCCTCAATCTTTTGCTATTAATTTTAGCAAATTGGTGATTTTCCATTAAAATTGGAATACTATTACAGCAAACACTTTCTGGGGGAAGAAATCAACTGGAGAATGGTAAATGCTCTGTCGAGTCAAACATCCTTATTGGACTAAAGTGTTTGGAAGTCTAAATTAAGAAACTACATTTGTATTCTATGGCGACAGACTGTTATGGTTTTCAGACGTTAGGTGTCATTAGGTGCAAAAGGAAACTCAGGAAAGATAAAGTTAGAAATTAATTAATTTTTTTTTAAATTTTATTATTGTTAAGGGGAGGTGGAAGAGTTAAAAACTTCTACAATATTTAGGGGAGAGAGAGTTTCTAACCCGGGACGCATAGGTGGAAATCCAACACCCTGTCTACCCTATTCATTATGCAGAGAGATTGTTAAGGTCTTACCACATTAGGTGCAAAACGAAACTCAGGGGGTTAAGCTAGAGATTAAAAAAAAATTTAATTTTTTTATTATTATTAAGAGGAATGAGAAAGATTTGAAACTAGTACAATAATTTAAGAGATGAGGGAGTTTTGAACTCAGGACGCATGAGTGGAAACTCAACATCCTGTCCACTATGGAGAGAAAATGTTTAGATCTTACCACATTAGGTCTCATTAGGTGCAAAAGGAAACTCAGGAAAGATTAAGTTAGAGATTAAACAATTTTTTGAATTTTTACCATTATTAAGGGGAGGGAGAAGGATTTGAAACTATTACAATAATTTAAGGGAGGAGAACAGATGCGTGGAAACCACAATCTATCCACTAGGATACTAGACCATATACAAGTTAGAGGCTAAACATGATAAAGGAAGGTGTGTATGAGAAATAAATTCACTTTGAGGTTTATAATTAAGGTTAATTGTAATATTGGTCCCTAAATTAATAATCGAGATTCATTTAAGTTGTTAATGCTCAAAATTTGCAAGTTAAGAAATTAAGATAATAAGCTCTTAAAAGGTTCTAAGAATGGAATGAAATGATTTGGACTCAGAGATATAAGTGGTTCACTCCTCGAAACTATGCTATGTCTATTGTGTAACTTGGATTTTTATTGATATCAAGACTAAAATAGCGCTCGGCAAATACGAACATACTCTCTCCCTTTTAGTTGTTCAACCCCCGTTTAGGAGGCCTCACTCCTTTATTTAGGCCTTCAATGAACCCCTTCATCTCAAGCCACCCCACTTGACATTTAATGTGCCACCTACGTAGCCTAGGTTGTTGGCAACATTTCTCTCACATAGTTTTTGACATTCAGTAGTAAAGTGACAGACGCTCAGTTTGGATAGAGTGTCATGTTAGAATAGTACGAATTAAGCACATGCTTGGCCTCGGTTATCCAATCTCATCGACCTGAGCATCATTTTGACAGCCTTTATGTCTTATCCTAAGCTTCTCTGCCACTGAAAGGTGGTCGTCAAGTGACATGAGTTAGGAATTCGTGTCTTAAAGTTGTTAGTCTACCCACGCGCTTGTTGTGATTGTATTCCTTCTTGCGTTCCCTAGTCGGCTAAGTTTAGGGACGGTCGACCATTGCACTTGAGCTTGTTCTCATTTTCACGTTCACTCCAAAGATTGTTACTAATGAATAACACATCACACCCCTCCCTAACCACCACAAACCCTAATCCTCCGCTCCCACCCTCAATCCGCACCCACCTGTCTCCTCAGTTCACCTCATATCTCCGCCACACCTCAAAACGACCTAAAACCCCATTTTGCCCTTTGAAAAGACGGAACATTCCAAAAATACAGTTTATCCGCTAATAATAATATAATAAAAAGAAAAAGAGGACTGCGGATATCTTTCACTCTCTCCGCGTAACAATGGCGGCGCTGTTAGAGCCACCACCGCCGTTTCTGAACCAGCTCCTTCCTCCCAACTCAACCTCCACACGTCCCCTTCCGTACAATCTCAGACTCGGAAGACCAACAAACTCTCCTAACCACCCCACACTCCTCGCCGCCACAACTCCTTGTTGCTCTGCCGCCACTTCCGAACAACCCATACCCCAATTACCCGACCCGGTTCCGGAGACAGCTTTGGTGCGGACCAGGGACCGGCGCCGGGCGGTCCGGTTGGCCTGGGAGAAGCTGGTCCGGTGGTCCAGGACCTGGCGCTCCAAGACCAAGACCGATGTTCTTGAACGCACTAACAAGGTGTGCCTGCCCTTTTCCCCCAGTTTTTGCATTTTGCTTCCCAGAATTGCAAAAGCTTCTATTTTTCACTATATATTGAAAGTGCTTCTGGGTTAGAAGCACTTCTTTCAGGAAGCCTTTCAAATGCCTTTTTAGAAAGCACCTGACTTTTTATTAGGAATTTCGCGAAAGTGCTTTCTAGAGAAGCATTTCATAAACGCACACTTAGTATTGGAACTGTGAATTTTTAGGTGGTGGTGCTTGGAGGTGGGTCTTTCGCTACGGCAATGGCCTCCCATGTTGCAAATAGAAAATCCCAGATGGAAGTTAGCATACTGGTTCGTGATGCTCAAGTTTGCCAATCGATTAACAGCAACCAGTGTAATCGGTAAGACATTTACATCCGCCATTAACTTTTATGCATATGTCTTATGGAGCTGTAATTTCTTCTGAAATGTAATTGGTTTTTGCTTCTTTTTCACATAGTAAGTACTTTCCAGAACACAAGCTGCCAGAAAATGTAATTGCAACAACTGATGCCAAAGCTGCTTTGCTGGGTGCCGATTATTGCTTTCATGCAGTCCCTGTGCAGGTTTTTCAGCCACCATTCTTATTCTAGTATTGTATTAACTAACCTAGGGCATGTTTAGAGGTTAAAAGCACTTTTTGGCAACCAGAAGCGCTTCTAATTATGTTTGGCAGAAAAACCTAAAATTGCTTATAGGTCGTACAAGTGCACTTCCAAGTGTGTAGTCCCAAATGGGCCCTTCAAGATTTTTCCAATCGATATCTGTATCCGTATGAATCCTAGTGCACAGTAGGTTAGATTATGCTCTTACCTATCAGAAAATGGAAGATTGGTATGAGGCAGGTACCTGAGTCATTGTCTGAAATGATATCGCAGTTCAGCTCAGCGTTTCTTGAAGGGATTGCAGAACATGTTTATCCAGGCTTGCCGTTCATATCAGTCAGCAAGGGTTTAGAGCTCAATACGCTGAGGACCATGTCTCAGATCATTCCTCAAGCATTGAAGAATCCCCGGCAACCTTTCATCGCACTATCAGGGCCTTCTTTTGCGCTGGAGCTGATGAATAAATTACCAACAGGTATGTGGAAAAATGAAACAACAATGTTGAATCAACGTTCTGCTAAATCATGTTTTAAAGGTACTAATCATGTTTTGCTCCTTTTTTGCTTTTGTAGCAATGGTCGTAGCGTCGAAGGACAAAAAATTGGCAAATGCAGCTCAGCAGCTTCTGGCTTGTGACTATTTGAGAATCAGCACTTCAAGGTTGTGGATTTATAGCTATATCAAGGACAATTAAGTTCTGTCTATGTATATAATTTGGTCTTGAAATGCCCTTGTTAGCTTGGATATCCACACGTTTCAAATTTCACCGAGCATGAATTGTCATCGTATTCAAATACTCATAGATTTAAGTGGACGGACCCAGCTCATAATCTCTGATAAATTCCAGCGATGTCGTAGGGGTAGAAGTTGCAGGTGCTCTCAAGAATGTGCTCGCAATAGCTGCAGGGATTGTGGACGGGATGAATCTTGGTAATAATTGCAAGACAGCTCTTGTTGCACAAGGATGCTCTGAGATACGGTGGCTGGCAATGAAGGTAAACTTACTTTGACAATAGGTGTGTTTTTGTGTAATCCCAGGTGGTTGTACAAATGAAACATTTGTTTGCTTTTAGCTGCTGTTGTCTGACTGCTTTTCCCTCCAATTTATCTCCTGAAGATGGGGGCGAAGCCGGCAACAATCACCGGTCTATCAGGAATTGGGGACATCATGCTTACATGTTTTGTGAACCTTTCCAGAAACAGAACAGTTGGGGTTCGTCTTGGATCGGGGGAGCAACTCGACGATATACTGAGTTCTATGAATCAGGTGCTTAAGCTTAATAATGTTCGGAACAACTCAGAATTTGAAATTTAGCTCATTGATATGGTAATGCTGTGTTGGTTTACTAGGTGGCAGAGGGTGTGTCAACAGCAGGAGCTGTGATTGCACTAGCGCAGAAGTATAAGGTGAAGATGCCGGTTTTGACAGCGGTAGCTCGGATTATTGACAACGAACTGACCCCGAAGAAAGCTGTTCTTGAGCTGATGAGCCTCCCTCAGGTCCTTGTCTACTCCCTCCCTTCCCCCATTGCATAAGATAACAAGAAAATAACTTGTGGGTTTTGGTGGTTGATTAGGGTTTTAAATTTCCAATTGTAGGTTGAAGAGGTCTGAATTGCTGCAGAGGTTTTACATTCAACAGGATTCATCTCATCATATAATCAGATTAATCCTCTGGGTTCATGTCTCCTCCGAAATTCCAATGGGAGATCGATTTGTGAAACGATCCAAATTTTTTTTTGAAATTAAGGAATTTAAAAGAAAGTTATTAATCTCGTCGATCATCTTCTTTCGTATCGATTTCCAGATTGGTAAGATATTACGAGTTAAATTCAGAATTGATTTGTTGCATCTCACAAGTTTTAGCTTCCGTTGACGTTGGCTGGTTATCGCCCGCCGATCCGGTCGCTTGAGCCGGAACGATCGAGTTGGTCGTCTGTTTGAGGCGGTACCATCTGGTCAGCGGTCAGACCCGGTTCGCCCATCAGACCCGGTTCGTCTAATCTGACCGGGACCGTCCTGTCCGACCCGGTTCGCCTGGTTCAGCGAAGCAGCAGAAACGGTTCGACCCGGCACATCTGGTTCGAACCGGTTCAGCTTGTCCGATCCCGTCCAGCGAAGCAACAGGAACGGTCCGACATCTGGTTCGAACCGGTTCAGCTTGTCCGATCCCGTCCAGCGAATCAACAGAAACGGTCCGACCGGTCCAGCGATGCAACAAAAAGGGTCCGACTAGGTCCAGCCGGTCCGACCAGGTCCAGCCGGTCCGACCAGGTCCAGCCGGTCCGACCAGGTCCAGCCGGTCCGACCAGGTCCAGCCGGTCCGACTCGATCTAACCGGTCTGAGCCGAAATGCAGAAAACTCACCGGTTTCTGCAGATTGTCGCCGGAATCCTTTCCGACTCTCAGTAGCTGGCCGATTGGAACGAAAAAACTCGCTAAAGTTTCTGAAACTTGTCGAAAAATGGCCGGGAAGTTGTGGACTTTCCAAGCTTCGATCACGACGATCGGGAAGGATGTTCGAGGCGAGGCTGGGTGTTGTCGACTAGCTGGCAGTGGGTTTGGGCCATGGTGGTCGGGAAAGTTGTGCACCGTGTGTGCACAGTGAGAGCAGGAGAAAGCGTGAGGGAGGAAGGAGGAGAGAGAAAGAAAATGCGAGGAGAAGTGAGAGGGAGAGAGAGAGAGACCGACTGCGGGAGAGTAATTCTGGCAAGAAGAGGTAGTAAAATGGACCCCTTCTTCATGCCAGATGGGGAAAGAAAAGATGGTCGCCGCCTGCGAGAGGGGAGGGAGAGAGACAGACTCAGAGAGAGAGAGGGTGTGATTTCGCCGCTGCTAACAAGCGCAGGTTTTTACTTGTTTAATTAAAAAGGGAATCCTGGGCTTCATTCTAAGGCTGATTTGGTATATTTGAAAAAAAAAAAAGGGTAAACTGTCGGTTTACCACTGAACTTTAACCTTACTTTCGATTCCCTCCATGAACTTTTCTATTGGAAAATTAAGGACTCAAACTAATTTTGTAGCCAATTTGCCTCCTACCGTTAGTTTTTCATATATTCCATCCATATTTCCGTTAAGTGAGACCATGTGCACAACATGTGAGGGTAGTTAAATTATTTCACTCTTAAAAATGATTAAAAAACTGAAAATAAAAAAAAACAAAACTTTCCCTCTATTTTTTCCCGCTAATTCCTATCCTCAATTTTATTTTTCCCTCTCATTCCTATGCATGAGAAATAATATATGGTGTTATTGTCTTCATAAGTAGCTAAGTTAATCTTTTTCTTGAAGCATGTACTACCATTTTTATTTTCTCTAACAAATTAATAATTTGACAAATGCTCATGGTGCTATTGTCTCCAAAGCAGTACATTAATATAAGAAACATGTCCATAAAAAAGACTAGGGTTTCTTATATTAATGCACTGCTTTGGAGACAATAGCACCATTAGCATTTGTCAAATTATTAATTTGTTAGAGAAAATAAAAATGGTAGACAATAACACCATATGTCATTTCTCATGCATAGGAATGAGAGGGAAAAATAAAATCGAGGATAGGAATTAGCGGGAAAAAATAGAGGGAAAGTTTTGTTTTGTTTTGTTTTTTTCAGTTTTTTAATCATTTTTAAGAGTGAAATAATTTAACTACCCTCACATGTTGTGTACATGGTCTCACTTAACGGAAATATGGATGGAATATATGAAAAACTAACGGTAGGGGGCAAATTGGCTAAAAAAATTAGTTTGAGTCCTTAATTTTCTAATAGAAAAGTTCAGGGGGGAAATCGAAAGTAAGGTGAAAGTTTAGGGGGTAAACTGACAGTTTACTCAAAAAAAAAAATGTAGAGTGTTTGATAAAACTTTTTTTAAAAATATTTTTGAAAAAAAGGTAGTATTATAGTGTTTGGTAAACTTTTATATAAAACAGATGTGAAAAAAAATCGGTTTTTCAAAGTTGGATTTTGCAACTTCTTGTTTTTGGTTTTCACCCAAAACTGTGAAAAAAAACTGAAGCTGAATGTTTACCAAACACAAAAAAATACTATTTTTTTTTCATAATCACCTCAGTACCAAACCAGGCCTAAGAGTCCAATAAAAGTGGGCCCCTCTCTCCCATCCCCTTTTTACTTCTTTAATTACTCACACGTCGGTTCTAGCCAACATTTCCGATTAAAAACTCTTTAGTTACGGGAAATATTTGCGATATAGATAGTTTGAATATTTCTGTCAATCTATCTCTTTCATAACGCGATGTACCTCCCATCACATGATAAGAAATATAAATAAGGAGATACATTGCAGATCACCGAAAATTCTGCCCATTTTACATGAGAGCCTAATTTCCGTCTAATTTTCGGGTCTAATTTACTTTCTCTTACACAAACCTCACACCACCTCCTCCTCTTCAAACCTTACAGCTTTCTACTAGACATTGACAGTATTGGTGAAGACATATATTCCTGCAAATGAATGCTGATATCCAGAGAGACTCAAATGGAATATAGCAAGAAAAGCCGGTCCTTATTCTCTCTTGTCTTCCTCTACATCTTCCCCAAGCCCAAACACGTGATGTTCTGCTGCACTCGACGCCTTCCTTTCCTTTCTTTCTAGCTTGGTTGCCAAGTCTCCGCCCGCCACCTTAACTCCACTTCCCGTGAGCGAGATACCCTCGTCATCAAAGTCATCCGCGGTCTCCTCCGAGTATGCATATCTGCAGAAGCTCGTATTAAGTAACAGTTAGTATCCTCACCAGGTGTATTAGAAATTTCTAACAAAGCTGAAGCTAGCGCATTCTATACAAAGGAAAAAATTCGGCACTTAATCGTTTTGGATATGTTTGTAGAGTTGAAGCTTGGGACATTATGTCACGAACTTTAATGAAAATGAAATACGATATCTAGTAGATTTTCTATTCTGGTCTGTTCCTATGCTCGCTCATCTCCGGAATGGCTCATAAACGTCACCCAAATAGCATTTTAATGCATGATTAGGAGAATTTATTAAGACATTCAATCGAATAATGTTAGCTGGTTTACAAATGCCATGAGAGCGAAAGCCAGCTGAAGAAAACACAGAAACTTGCAGCATGCATTCAAAGGGAGGCAAGGATTTAGAGTGTACCCGGTTGGGTTGTGAGATGGAGCCCAAAGAATACATATCACCACCAACAGCAAATAAGCAAGCAAAGTCCAGAAAGCTGGGATGACCCAGGCTCTTCGCCACAGCTCACTCAACGGGTCAGTGGCATTGAAATACAACTGAAAGACAAAGGTCAGTAGTTTAATTCTTAATCATACAAATCTTACCATTGTACACAAAGTAAAGGAATAGAAAGGAGCATGCGAGACATACTTACGAAAAAATCAGACAGGCGGCAAATAGAGCAATTTTGTGGCTGGTTAAAAAAGCTATAAAATTGTCTAGCCAAATGCAGTCACTAATAAATCAAATACTTGTGACCTTTTCTTACAGAAAGATTGAAGCGAAATCACTATTAAATTGACAGCCCGGTAGAAGAAGAAAGAAATAGCGGACCAAGGAAAAGAAACAAAACAAAACCAACCTCATAGCCAATCCAAGCAACAGAGAGCAGCACTGATACTGCAAGAGAATTCGTAAACTTTCGGTACAGCTCAAGTTTGGCCATGCTTCTTCGAATCTGTGTGCACAGTAGACAAAGGGCCATATTCACTTAGTTTCCTCAAGCTACATACAGAGTGTTCCATTCAAGCGCATGCTAATGAATCATTCCATGTATGTAACAGAAGCATAACGAACAATACATATTCCACAGTCAACATTCTCATATACATAGATGGTACCGTGTTCCTAAGCACTAAAATATTTTTTCAGCGGCAGTCATGCAGTAAAATACAGAATGGATTCAATTGTGCACCTTGAATTGAAAAACTGTTGGTTAGATTTCTATGATGCTCAAACATCCAAGATAGGAAATATCAATGCCTGTTAGTTAACGAATGTGCAGACAAAAGTCAAGCCAATAACTATATTCATGTAGCTGATAAGGTTTCTTAATTTTATTAATTATTCAATATTTACCAAAATGTAGCACATACTGTGTTTGATGTCCATATATCACCTGCATAACTCTTCAACCTTAATGATAAGCGGAATAACTTATTTCCTTCCCTTAGCAATTGTAAACTACTGGAGACAGTAAGCGATGTCAATGTATCGATGGACATGAAAAATAAGGTTACCTGAAGCTTCTCCAAAGTTTTAGATAACGAGGAAAAGATCCAAAGAATAAAACAGGCATCCAAAAGAGCAACAGGCAGCACCAGAAAAAGCCTTGCTTTTCCAGAAAAGTCGTTGATATTCCCCAAATGCTCAACAAGCTCAAGTGCTTCTGATGCTACAAAATATATCACACCAAGGAGAAGTACTTTCGAGGTTATACCACCGAGAGTTGGCCGCACAACACCATAGCCCATTGAAACCACCAGAAGGAGAAGCCGGGAGACAGTTTTTTTAACGGCGCTGAAGGTTACTGCCCATATGGTAATTCCCATTGGTCTGCTTCCAGTGGAATTGAAATTTGCATATTCAAAATACCAAAGGGCCATTTCACACATTCCAAGTCCAATTACAGCACTGATGTGGTAGTGCAACTGTATTATGTCTTTCCAATACTGTAAAAAGCGGAGAAACCAGAAAAGACCGAGGACTAGATAAGCTAAAGACATTAGGCCAAAAAATGTCATCAATGGGGACATCTTTCCAGGTAAATAACCATCAGGGTTCCTCCAAACAGTTCTTCCACTGATTAATGTGCCGACAAGTTCTGGATCACAGAACATAAAATAGAGATAGTACATTCCAGTGCTGTTGATTTCAATAGTTTGGATATCCATATTAGCCTCTTCATTCTTCCCCTCGAAGAAGGTCTGAATCCTTTTTGGCCCATCAGGGTTGTCTGGGTTTTGTTGGATGATAACCTCTCCCACCTTGCAAGAACCGTCCTTGGATAGCTCTGGGGTGCAGCATATTGCATTGGAGTTCAAATAAGAACCCCCAATCTTCTCCCTGTCCCTAACCTCAAGAACAATAGCCTCGACTAAGCCAGTCCTCTGCTGCATCTCATTCTTCTTTTCAGCAGATTCCTTGGTTCTTCGAAAGATGATTGATTCGAACCTGCATTAACATATGGCAAGGACAGACAAAACCCTTTTAAATGTTTTGTTTATACACAAAAACCTACAAATACTTCTGATTGAAAATGGTTAACTAAGAATTTCCCATAGAACAGCCATATGTGACATTCTCTCATTATATTCATTCTAAGTTGTTTTCAAGTTTTAATTTTCGTATAATCTCCTTCATTTCTCTCTCCTCCCTCCCACCACATCCCTCCATCCTTCTCCATCCTTCATTCTCCTATATACTTTCCCTCTATCTCTAGCACAAAAAAATGTAAACAAAATGGTTGTCAAACGGGACCTAGATTAGCGTTATAACTGGCATCCTCTCAACTATATTCATTATTTTTCACCAGATTTCAATCAAGAACTGGCATTTCAATTGTCAACCCTCATTTAAACAAATCAATCACTGCATAATAAATTGCACATTTAATCCATAAACCGCAGCTTTCAACAGACACCAACACAAAGCCAATTCAATTTTCACTAAAAAATTCAACTTTTCCTAATCAGTTTACCAACCAGCAAATGCGGATTAGTTGGCTATGACAATGTATCCACCCCCTTGCACCCAAGTTTTAACCCACCTCTCCATAAATTAGATTAGTTTAGAATATCTTCTTCTCAAACAAAACAAAAAACCAATCGCAATCAGGAAAAAACAAAGAACCCATCAATTATTCCCCCCCCCCCCCCCAAAAAAAAAAAAAAAACAGATAAAGAACAAAAAGGCGGAAACTTTATCAATTTACCTGATGAATGACTTGCCATTGAGGGGCCTATCCTCAGAGCTGGACTTGTCGTTGCCAGAGTCGAGCTTGGAAGCGTAAAGGCCTTCACTTCCGCCATGGAAGAAGAAGGAATTGGAACGACGGATGAAGGACTCGTCTTGGTAGTCATGGATCGAAGCTCGGGCTAAAATAATCAAGTGCATCAGCATCAAGATTATAAAATATCCATTTGAATTTGGAGACGGCAGATCTCTGTGACCCATTTTGTCTGACAACGTTGTTTATCAATCACAAGGAACGATGTAGAATCATAGGATTTTAGGATTTTTCAGCACTCTTTGGAATTTGGCCTAACCGGGTTGACAGACACCATCGACATTCCAGTTTACCCTCCAAACTTACTAATTTTATATACAAAATTAAAAGGAGGTTTTATATGCCGTGGTGGAATTTATTTTATTTTTTTTATATATAATTATTTTTTATCATTGATTTGCATCAGTTCATCAAAATTAAATGAGAATCAATGAGTTTGTAGCTTAATCGTGAATTTTCTCTTGCATTAGTAGAGGTTGTGTGCTTGCTCCATCTATCGTTTGTATAAAAAATAAATATAATGTTAATTACAATTTTATTTAAGAAATATTTTAATAATATGCCCCTTTGATATGAAGAGTAGCCCCTACTCTCTCTCAAGAGACTGGCCAATTCTGTACAAGCTCTTGTATGATTTGGTTCCTCATCGATGTCGAAATGTCCTCACATTCTCACAGTGACAAGGCTGAGGAGCAAGGTGATATGGCCGGTGACCTATTTTCCTCGAACATCATTGTTGTCGAGTAGGAGTTTGATTAGGCCTTGAGGGAAGATTGATGTGTTCAAGAGAGTGCTTAGAAGGCATAGTTTCCCCATTAGGCTATGCCCTTCTTATGCTTTTTTTGTTATGGCGACTCGGGGTTTTGCGAAATCCATTTCTTTTGGCGAAACAAGTAACCAACTCGGTCGAACGTGGAGCCAATTCCCACAGAAAGAGAAAATGTCTGCAATCTCTCGCTCTCTCGGATTATCACGAACAATTCAGTTTTCTTCGATTAGTTTAGTTCGAAAGAAAAGGGATAACTAAGAGATATAATGCGAATTAATGTGTTTTGAGGTGAGAAGATGGCGATGAAGGACGGTGCAAGTTACAAGAGGCAATGCAGGCTATTGATAGAAAAGCCGCTCGGATTCAAGAATGGCTTCCAGATGAAGAACAAGGCATGATTAGTATATTTTTGTGGATTACTAGTAGTTTTTTTTCTTCTTACATTCCTTTCTCTAATTGGCATGAATGATGAGATGATTTGAGCATTATATTGTAACGTAACGAAAAATTAATATGAACTACATTTCTTGTTAATTAAGCCTGTGATTTTCTGGTGTTGTGGACATTGCATGTTTTGCAGCAAAGGGAATCACAAAGGAAAGTTCCAAGCAAAATATCGGAAACAAATGAAAACATTTCTTATGCCACCAAACTAAATTGGAAGCATTAACGATCATATTGCTTTGAATCATATGTTTACTTCTTAGGAAGAGGTATAATATACAATCTTAATCCTAATCAAATAGAGAAGAATAATTACAGGAGATTACAAAGAGATTTCTCCCAGATTACACGGGATCCATCCTAAACTAGGAAATCCTAAATTATAGAAAACTATACAAGTCAACACTCTCCCCCTCAAGTTGGTGCATATATGTTACACATACCCAACTTGTCTAGATACTTAGAGAACTTTTCACTAGAAATTGTTTTGGTGAGAATGTTAGCTATTTGATTGGAGGCACTTCAATTATTTTACCTTCTAGCGTTTCTTTAATAAAGAACATGTCAACCTCTACATGTTTAGTTATGTTGATGCACAAAACCGGAGGTCTTGGAAGAACGTAAATCCGACCGTGAATCTGCAAGAAAGTAAAGAACACAAGATGTATCGTGGTTCACTCCAATGTTTGGGCTACGTCCACACTGATGTTGATATTGCTTCTCTGTATGGATGTATGGATTACAAATGTGAGAGGGAGTCCCCCAGAGAAAGAGAGAGAGTTTGAGAGAGCCTCTGTTTAGGGGATCTGAGGCCTCCAAATTGTGAGGGTGAGGAGTCCCTTTTATAGACTAAGGGCTCCTCACTTATTACATATTTACCCCTTCATTTATTACATAATTACATTTGAGTCTCTCGAGTATTTATACGAGATCTAAATACGGAGGCCCTAAGTATAGTACAAACAAGTTATATCATGTTGCACCGGATTATGAGCAATATCGCGAGCAGCCTTATTATCACAAAACAACTTTATCGGTTGACTATGTTTGACACCCAAATCTTGTAGTAGTATTTAAGCCATAAAATCTCACAAATACCAAGGGTCATACTTTTGTATTCCACTTCTGCATTCGACTTTGCTACTACTCCCTGCTTCTTGCTTCGCCAAGTAACCAGATTTCCACCAACAAAGGTGAAGTAACCTGATGTTGAGCGCCTATCATCACTCGAATCGGCCAGTCAACATCCGTATAACCTTCAATACTAAAATGACCACTCTTCTTAAATAAAATCCCTTTCCCAGGATTTCCTTTCAAATAACTCAATATTCTCATAACTGCATTCACTAACGACACTCAACGCATAAGCAAAGTCTGGTCTAGTATCTGCCAAATACATTAATCTTCCCATTAACCGTTAATAACTCCCTTTATCTATTGGTACTTGATTTAGATCAATGCTCAGCTTCATTCCTTATACCAACAGAGTAGTCACGGGTTTGCATGCTAACATGCCAGTTTCATTTAACAGGTCAAGAATATACTCTCTGTGATAGGAAGATTCCTGACTTGCTCCTTGATACCTCAATCTCGAGAAAATATTTCAGAAACCCAAGATCTTTCACTCGAATTATGTACTTAAATATTTCTGTAAGGTTGCACGCTCATCTGGATCATTACCGGTAACTACCATGTCATCCACATATATAATGAGTGTTGTAAGCTTTCCATTCTGACGTTTCAAGAACAATGTGTGATCACAGTTACTTTGCTTATATCCAAATGCTCTCATAGACTTGGTAAATCTACCAAACCACACTTTTGGGGACTGCTTTAACCCATACAATGATTTTCAAAGCCTGCACACCTTTTATCTATGCATATCTGGAACATTACTCCCTGGTGGGAGTTCTATGTAATTCTCATCTGTTAAATCCTGCAAGAAGGCATTCTTCACATCGAACTGTTGTAATCGCCAATTAAGATTTGTAGCCAAGGACAACAAAACACGGATTGTATTCATCTTGGCCACATGGGCAAATGTATCTGTATAGTTAATTCCATATTTTTGAGTGTATCATTTTGCTACTAGTCTTGCCTTGAAGCGATCCATCGTCCAATCAGCTTTGTACTTCATTGTATAGACCCATTTGCATCCCACAGGTTTCTTGCCAACTGGCAAGTCTGTGATCCCAGGTAGCATTCTTTTTCAAAGATTTCAACTCTTCAATCATTGCTGCTTGCTAACGTGGATCAGCTAAAGCCTCATGCACATTGTTAGGAATAGATACAGTAGACAATTGATGCACAAATGACTTATTTGATTCTAACAGGTGATTGGTAGACATATAATTACTTAACGGGTATAACACATTAGACTCAGGGTTGGGTTTACTCACCAGATACCTAGTTTTGCATTTGGGGTCGGCTTCATAAGTAAGTTTAGGAACACCCCGGTTGATGCGATCAGGGAGACGACATGGTGGTAGTGCATGTGGGATTGAAGACGATTGATTATGGTTATTGGGACTCAAGATCAACTGTGAAGTAGCTGGCGACGCATGACTGTCTAGTGGTGAGGAACTGGCAGTAAGCTATTGGACAGTGAGTTATCTGGTGATGTCAACTCGTCACTTTCAAAGTTTTCGCCATTGTTTCTATGTGAATGATCACCATTTGTCTCAAAGACATTACCCTTTAGTTTCAATTCATTCACATCATTGTTTTCATGTGAATGATCACCACTTATTTACAAGACATCACCACTTAAATCCAAACTGTTCACACTATTTATATTTGGAATAGTATAATTAAGAGTTTGAACGTCTGTCTGATTCTCCCCCTGAAGTGAAGACTCAGGATTGGCAAAGTACATATCATTCTTATGAAACACAATATCCACAGTAACACACAGTTTTTTTCGTCGGAGGGTGATAACAACGATACCCTTTTCGATTTAAGGCATACCCCACAAACACACACCGTAAAGCCCGAGGTTCAATCTTACTTCTCTGCTGTTTATGAAGATGAACGAAGGCCACACAACCAAACACGTGAGATGGAAGATTAAGAACTGTAGGAGTATTAATAGATGAAGAGATAGTCTAGAACGGTGTCTGAAAGTTGACTGATTGGGATAGAACACGATTCATGAGATACATAGCTGAGGTGAGATTTTCTCCCCAAAAGGATAACGAGAGACGTGCCTCGAACAAAGAAGCAAGAACAATCTCTAAAAGCTGACGATTCTTGCGTTCTGCAACATCATTTTGTTATGGAGTATGTAGACATGTAGTTTGATGAAGAATACCATGATGATCAAGAAAGGCACGAAGTTCAGAGTTTACACATCCGGCCCCATTGTCACTCTTGAGAACTTGTATTTGTGACTTATATTGTACTTGTACCATTTTGTAAAACTGCTGAAACAAAGAAGTAACTTCACTTTTGGACTTCATCAAACAAACCCAAGTCATACGTGTGCACTCATCAATAAAAGTAACAAACCAATGAGCACCACCAAGTGTAGAAGTTTTAGATAGTCCCCAAACATCAAAATGAATTATCATAAACGGGTTTGAATTTTTATTCAAACTAGGCGGAAATGAAGTATGATGACTTTTAGCCATTTCAAAAACACCACATTTAAAGTTAGAAATATCATGATTAACAAATAGGCTGGGAAACAACCTCTGAAGATGGTTGAACGAAGCATGTCCAAGTCAACGATGCCACAACCAAATCTCCAAAACTTTATTCCTATCCCTCTGATTTCCTTCCACTACAAGAGCTTGAGTCAACATTCGGGAACTGTTCAATGTCAGCTCCAAGTAGTAGAGCTTTCCCTTCCTAATACCATAACCAATCATCTTGCGAGTTCAAATGTTCTTAAAAACACAAAAAAAGGCCAAAAAATCACAAGACAATGTAGGGCGACGGTTATTTGAGCAACAAATAATAAATTATAGTCAAGAGAAGGAACAATGAGTACATAATCAAGATTCAGGGTATCAAAAAGTGAGACATCGTATTTTTCGATAATAGAGGCAACATTACCATTGGCAACACTCACGACAGTTTTGGAGGAGTGTTTTAGGGTTTGTA